GTATGTGTGTACTGACACTGCTGCGGCAGTGACAGTCTACTGACACTAAGAAAGCCAGATGTGGAGGGCTTGTATTAACTGCTGATAATGTCGGACAAGGCGATCCAACAGCAGTTCACACATCGGGGCGGGTGATGCTGCTACCCACTCGAGACTACCGGGGCAGCCACGCCGACAAAGAGCCCTTTCCCGCGGGTCCCCACGCCGGCAGCCGCGGAGGGGCGCGGTGCGGCTGGCGGGCCGAGGCGTGCCCCGGGCCCCGCCGCCCCCGCCCTGGCACGGCGGCCCCTCCGCCCGCCGCCGCGGCTCCGGGAGCCCTGCCCTGGCACCCCGTACCTGGCCCCACCCTGGCCCTCTTGGCCGGGAACGGCCCGGCGAAGGAAAGGACGGGGAGGGTGTCGAGGACTAGGGCAGGAGGGCTCAGCCGTGCTACAGCAACTGGGGAAGGAGGGAAAAGAGCTGAGAGGAGGCAGCGCTGCCCTCGCTCGTACGGAGCTTTGCGAGTGGGGCCGCCAAGCACCTGTGGCGAAGGGGCCCGAGGAGCCCCAGCTGCGAGATGCTCCACGCCCTGGGCAGCTGGAGGAGCAACTGTGCGTGCTCTGCGGAGGGGTGAGGATTTTCGCTTTAGCCTTTGGTGGTCTCGCTGGTTGCCTTAGGTTCCCACGCCAGGGGAGAGGTTTCGCCCGCTGTACTGAGGGGTTTCTCGCACCCTAACGAGATAACCAGGGCAGGGGGGCTTTCCCACGGCGAGGAATTGTCCCCGTGAGCCGCAACAGGCGTTTCCCCCACACACACACCCAGAGCGCTCCGTGCCTAGGTAGCGCTCGCAGGGTGCGTCTCTGGGAGGACATCTGCCTTCTTACACGCCCAAGCATGTGCTTTCCAGGCGGGAGCAGCTCCCAGAGCCCTGCCCGTGGCCGGCAGAGACACAAGTCCGCCCTACACTCTATCACTACGGAAACCTCCGCTCCCGGCGTAGGTGTACTGGGCACATCTTTCATTCTGGGGGACATGGGGAACCAGAGGGTGTATTACACCGACATGCACAAGCAATCAGATGAGGTTTCTATGAGCTCGTTCAGAGTGGGTCGAGAGGGGCGAGTTGCGGCAAGATGCCTCGGTGGGGCCATTTTTCCAGGTGGTCATACATCTCTCCATGAACGTGTTAGATTTATACTGATGACCAGACGCGGAGAAAGAGCCCTGTCACAGATCTGCTGTTGCCACCTCTAACTCGGATCTCTCTGGGAGCGGCTGCTCCCGCGGCAGGGCGGGCAGGGCAGCGGGCAGGGCAGGGCAGGGCCGCCTCCTCGGCGCAGGGAGCGGGGGCCACAGGGCTGGGCAGGGGCTGCAGCCAGACGTGCACCCGTGAACTGATCCAGAGGGAGCTCGGAACACCTCATGGCTTTGTATCAAAAAGTTACACCTAGAAAGCGTCTTTCTTGTTGAGAAAGAATTTGCGTGCGGTTTGCGTGGGACCCTTACCCTCTGCCCTCCGAGCCCTCCGAGCTCTGTCTGGCCGAACATATTTTATTCCCCTTGGGGAGGCACAGCAGCTCGTATAAAAAAGACATTGTTGTCTTTGGAGAGCCCTGTGCGCACTTTCAAAAGCTGATTCTTGAGTTCCCAGCCCCCGCAATCCAGTTGATGAGGAAACGCTCTGCGGTCTTGGTGGCACCGTTTCCATTGGGATTGGCACCATTTGATTGACAAAGTCTCCCATTCTTCCACCTCTCGAGTGTTATCAAAAGGATTGTGTGGGGTCAGAAGCTATTGAAGGGACGTCCGTGTAGCCGCATTTCTGCAAACACGGGGTGAAAACCGTGCCTTTCTCATGAAAATGCTTCCACCAGGCAGAACGCATCTCATCTTCCTTGCTCTCCTCCTTAGCATTTCTTTTTAACTCGAGTGTTTTACTGAGCAGCATCACCAGGTAAACGAGTATTTCGCTCAAGGCAGCCTAGGCAGGGCTCTGTCGGGACGGCCACCCTCCCCGGAAGCTGGGAGCAGCCATCTCTGGCAGACGAAACTCCGGTGGAGGGTTTGGAAGAAAAGGGAGAGTGCAGGGAGAGGATACCAGCGAGGAAGTTTTCTCGCCCGTTGTCCATGGTCTGACTTGCCCCGTTTTAGCTCATTTGGGGCGGGAAAGCAGGTGCAGAGGCTGACCTGTTTCCTTTACACCGCGTCCATCTAGCCCGGCTAAAAAGTAGCTAGACGTAGGCGCGCCGGTGTGCTCCTAACCCAGCGGTCAGACAAGCACAGGAGAGTTTCACCCGCTCCCCAGCAAAGGTGAACGAAGCGCTCCCTCATTACCTTCCCTCTACCAGACCCCGCGCAGAGCCTAGGGCCGACTCGCTCGGGATAACCTAACCGAGCGGTGTTTCGGAGGCGATTTAACCTGCGCTCATGCGAGTGAGAGGATAAATAAGCTCTGGCAGGCGCAGCCGGCGGCCAAAGGGTCTCTCGGGCGGCGCTCGGGGCCGCGCAGGGCGGCGGGAGCCTCGCCCGCCCGCCCGCGTGTCCGAGCGCCGCTCCGCGCTCCCGGAGCCGCTGCTCGGGCCTACCCGGCTGCCCCACCTCGCACTCTTGTGGATGGGAACCGAGTCTCTGCTCCTGCCCCACAAATTGCGCGGTCACTTGCCGCCTTTCGCCTCTGATTAAAACCGACTGAGCCGTCGTTTTGGTGGATCCTGCAGTATTTAATTTTTTTACCTTCCATCCACCCCCTTCTTTTAAAGGCTCATGAAAGAGGCATGGGGATGGAGTGTCTGAGAAATTCGGGGTAAAAAAAAACATCCTCAAACCCCAAGCAATCAAACCACTACGGCAAGGTCGAGTCTCTCTCTCTGTGTGGGAACAAAACCAAAGACCATACTCAAAAATATGCGCAGAAAGGGGAAAAACCGGGGCGAGGGAGTGGGGTGCGGGGGGAGGGTGTTGGGGGGGCGTGTAGTGTAAAGAAATGTTCCAGAGATCTGGATAGATAAGACTGAAAGGTTTCAAAAGAAAAGAGGAAAAATAAGAGGTAAAAACCAAACGCCTTTCTAGCCCAAAGTCGCCCTTCTCTGCCTTTGGTGACCCAGCAGACTCACAACCAGCCCACTTGGGGTATTCAGCCTTGAGGGAACTAGTGCCGAAAGAAGCAGCTGAGATGATGTAAGAGAGCTGGAGGCCTGATTGAAGGAAAGTTCCCCCGATTATATTTGTGTGGAAAAGCTCACCTCTTGCAGAGCTCTAAAGTGTAATCAAGACTGAGGCTTACACTTGAAGGATGTTAACTCTCATACGGGAACCTACTTTCTCCTAAACGGTTTCTTGCCTAGTGAATGAGAGCCTCCCAATTGAAGCAAAATGATCCTTATGTACTAATATCAAGCACAGCCACAAAGCGACCGGCTATTTATGCTGCCACTTTAGACAAAGATATTTAGTTATTCCCGGGTAGCAAGTGCACTTTTGCATTTTTAAGCACAAACCAGCCGAGCACAAACATATTTACAAGTGCAATTACTAAATAGTTACTTGACACTTCAGAGTCCCAGGGTTAACTGTACCTTCGCTGTAATTTTCTTAATATTCAGGTAATCGCTGTATTAAATTGTGGTTGTCAGGGCCGTAGGCCGGGGTGTGAAACACTCAGGGGAGGTTTCTCTCCTCCGCCCGGATCGCCCCGAAATATAAGCTTTGGAGACACTAGGTGTTGGAAGATTTCTTCAAAGACCCGAGTGACATTAGCTACTGGCTGCCTGTACGTGTGCGTGTGGCTGTGAATGGATCGCTTTTGTTTTCACACCGGATCCGAGAACAGATCCGAAAGTGCCAGAAATTGCAGTTTATTGGAAACTACAGGGAATTCATTGGCAAGGTCGTGTAGCAGATGACCGGAGAGGTCTTCTCCATCCAGCTCCCGTGCTGTATAAATAACCTTAGAAAGCAGCTTCAGCTTCAGAGGGACCACGAGAGACTGTGAGAGTCTTTGCCTTTGAGAATAACAAGCGACATTTTGCGCTAACCTATTTTTCATCGGTCTCTCGTCCCAGGCAATTAAATTACTGCTTGATTTTGCAAACTTGTGTCTTCCACCCCTCTCTGAGATATTAAAAAAAAAAATCCCAAGCTGAAAGGAATTTGTAGGTTTAGGGAGACAAACGAGCCTTGCACTGAGTGTCTTAGGAGACATAGAGAGTGTTCCCGAGATGCGAAACCCCAAGCGCTTGTTCAGCCCCAGCCGGCCGGGGCATCTGACAAGCCAGTGCGGGGAGTGCGGGGCGCGGGGAGCTGTGGCCCGGAGAGAAACCTCTGCCCTCCGAAGAGTTGTCCTCCCGGCGGCGGGGCTCCTTCCGGACCAAACTTAGTGGGGGAAGAGGGAGATTCTGTCCTTTGGCGTGCTGGCATTCCACCCCGTTTCCCCAGCTCTCACAAAGGCTGGGCTGACAGCCTTGCCACCCGGGAGCTGTTTTTAAATCCTTTCACCCAGTCAAATGGTGGTCTTTTTTTGCTTTGCCTTCCATTTCCCGTCCACGATATTGTCACCCCGAGGGAAAAAAAAAAAAAAAAAAAGAGTTGTGCTCACGGGGTCTTTCTTTCTTTTTTTCCTCTCTTTCCCGTCCTCTCTGTCTCTCTCTTTTTTTTCTTTTTTTTTTTTTTTCCTAAAGACATAAAAAAAATTCTGACAAGTAAGACTTAAAGGTGTTTACCTTGTCATCAGCATGTAAGCTAATTATCTTGGGCAAGATGTAGGCTTCTATTGTCTTGTTGCTTTAGTGCCTATGCCCCGCCTCTGGTGGCAGCCTAAAACCTGGCGTCTGGCTAAAACAAACGAAAGGCAGCCCTGAGCCTCCACTCAATCCAATTAAGGCGGACTTCGTCCACTCGGTTACGTGTACATCCAACAAGATCGGCGTTAAGGCAACACCAGAATATCTGGCAAAAAAAAAAAAAAAAAAAAAAAAAAGATTTGCCTCCCCTTCCTTTTTTTTTTTTTTTTCCCCAGCCGCCGAATCATGTCGATGAGCCCAAAGCATACGACTCCTTTCTCAGTGTCTGACATCTTGAGTCCTTTGGAGGAAAGCTACAAGAAAGTGGGCATGGAGGCCAGTAACTTGGGGGCTCCCCTGTCAGCCTACAGACAGTCTCAGGTTTCTCAGCCGGCCATGCAGCAGCACCCCATGGGCCACAACGGAACAGTGACTGCCGCCTACCATATGACAGCGGCAGGGGTCCCCCAGCTCTCCCATGCTACGATGGGGGGCTACTGCAATGGGAACCTGGGCAACATGAGCGAGCTGCCGCCTTACCAGGACACCATGAGGAACAGCGCTTCGGCGACAGGATGGTACGGCACCAACCCGGATCCCCGCTTTTCCTCAAGTAAGTCGGCTCGGGGCTGGGTGGCCGAGGGGGGCTTGCCGCGCAACTGCCCCGACACACCGCGGGCAGAAGGCACGGGGGGTCCGCGACAGGGCAAAAGTCGGTCTCAAACCCAGACGCGTCCCCCAAACCCCAAATTCCTTCTCCAGCCCGAGAATCGTACCCGGTCTTTCCATCCCGGCTGGTCGCACGTCAGCCTCCCGCGGCTGCTTTTGCGGGGCAAGGGGGTTGGAAGCCCGGCTGTGGCGGGGAGCGGGAGCCTGGCTCTCGCCGTCCAGCGGGGCGGGAGCGTCGCGGCCCGGGGGCCCAAAGGGAGCCGGCGGTGCCCGTCCGCCTGCGCGCCGCCCGGCACCGGGCGGGCGAGGGGGGAAGCCGGAGGCGCCGGGGCCGCGTCCCGGGGAGCGGCAGGGGAGCGAGCGGCAGAGTCCTCTTCGGCCGGCGCCGGCGGAGCCGCTGTCCGCCGCTGCTCCCGCCGCGGCTGTCACTTTAGGTACTTTCCTGGCCGTGCCCCGGGCAGGACGAGGGGTGAGTGGTCGCCCTTATTCACCGGGGCTGGGCCGGGCGAGAAGGGGGCCACCGCTCTCCCCAGGGACGTGAGCCGCTGTTTAGAAGCGCGGGTGCCCGAGGCCGCGGCCGGGGCTGGGCTGCCGGGGGGCTGCGGAGCTCCGCTGGGGGCAGGCGGCGGCGGGGGCTGCCGGAGCGTGGGGCCCCACTCGGGCCGGGCCGGGCCAAGCCGAGCCGCCTAAAACGTGCCGCCTTCTCCCTTGCAGTCTCCCGCTTCATGGCGCCGTCCTCGGGCATGAACATGGGAGGCATGGGCAGCCTCGGCTCCCTGGGAGACGTGAGCAAGAGCATGGCCCCGCTCCAGAGCACGCCGCGGAGGAAACGGAGGGTCCTTTTTTCGCAGGCCCAGGTTTACGAGCTGGAGAGACGTTTCAAGCAACAAAAATACCTCTCCGCCCCGGAGAGGGAACATTTAGCCAGCATGATACATCTCACCCCGACTCAGGTCAAAATCTGGTTCCAGAATCACCGCTACAAGATGAAACGCCAGGCCAAAGACAAGGCTGCGCAGCAGCAGATGCAACAGGAGAACGGCTCCTGCCAGCAGCAGCAGTCTCCCAGAAGGGTGGCAGTGCCAGTGCTTGTGAAGGATGGCAAGCCCTGCCAAGCAGGCTCCAACACACCCACAGCAGCTATCCAGAGCCATCAGCAGCAGGCAGCTACAACGATCACAGTGGCTACCAATGGCAACAGCCTCGGACAGCATCAGAGCCACCAGACAAACAGTGCGGGGCAGTCTCCAGACATGGGACAGCACTCGGCCAGCCCTTCCTCTCTGCAGAGCCAAGTCTCCAGTTTGTCTCACCTAAACTCTTCTACTTCTGACTATGGCACTGCCATGTCTTGCTCCACCTTGCTATACGGTAGGACCTGGTAAAAGGATTAAACAAAGAAGAGGGGAAAAAAGGCAAAAAGAAAAAAAAAATCCAACAAATTTTCCCAGTTACACAAATCTCTGTCCTCTCCAAACTACTGTGTGCTTTTTTCTTCTTCTTTTTTTTTTCTTTTTTTTTTCTTTTTTTTTCTTTTTTTTTCTTGTCAATGCTTTTCTCCCTTTCCCCCGTTTTACTGAGTGGTCTCTGAGGACCTCTAAGAGAGAGAGACACTTTTTTTTGTTCCATTTTATTGTTACTGTTGATGGTTTTGGGTCTTTATGTTTTTTCTCCCCCAAAGTTGTCCTATGGGGTGTATAAAATATTCAGACTAATAACCATGGAACAGTCTGCAGAAAGGGGACCATCTTTAGGCATGGTCTGAAGACTTGGATATCAGATGTACACTTTGCCAGCGTCTAGGACTTGCATGTAAATACAGAGATTTTGGGGGATGGGGTGGTTTTCCCCCCCAAAAAACGCATTCGCGTCACCCAGACACAAGAAGCAGCTTCCCCCTCCCCGGTGTCTCCCAGCCCGCCGCCAGGGCCAGCGGATGGAGACGTGGAGTCATCAAAGGCTTGGCTTTTATTTTCCTCCTTACGTTTGATGTGAACCTGTAGCTGTATAATGCTGTCAAAAGTTGGACTAAACCCATAGTTTTTAGTAGCCTGTATATTTTGTTGTAAAAAGAAAAGGAAAAAAATACAATCAACCAAACCAACCCCAACCCCCACCTTTTTTATGGACACTGATCACCCCGTCGTAAATCCTCCGGCAGTTTGTTATTTGCGCACGCCGCCTTTTCCTGTTGTAACTTATGTAGATATTTGGCTTAAATATAGTTCCTAAGAAGCTTCTAATAAATTATACACATTACGAAAATTCTTTTTTATTTCCCCCTTTGGTTTCCTCTCCCGACGCTCCTATCCTTACATCTTTCTCCTTTTTTTTTCCCCTTCCCCCCCCCCTCCAACTCCCGCCCCCCCTTTTTTTAACTTCTTGGTGGAAAAACAAGCCGGGATGTTGTGAGAGCTCGGAAGGCCCCTGTCCCTCCCAGGGCCCAGACCCTATTCCCAAAGGAGAGCTGGCCAGAGGGTTAACGGGATACAGGATCAATCCTCAGCGTGCAAACAGGACAAGCAAACGCGTGGGATTCACGAACTCGAGACTGAAGGAATCGAGTCCAAATTCATTAGCCCGATTATTTTTTGGGGGATGAGGGTGGGGGCGGGGGGCACCTCAGCGACTTCTTGCTAGAGAAAGCAAAGTATTCCGGGACTAGAAATTCAAATGCCAAAGGCACGGAGGAGAAAGAAGGTAAAAGTCTAACGCCATTAGAAAAAAATAAAATAGCGAAGAACCTGCTGTCAGTATAGAACGTGAGTCCAATTTAAAGTGTCCAGTTTTAATACCTTGTAAGAAAAAAAAAAAAAAAGAAAGATAATTTCTACCAGGTTTTCCTATGTACTTGTATTTTAAGGGAAGTACAGTCACCTTATTTATAATCAAAATAAAAAGATAGTTTATTGTGTACGACACGTAGTTTGAATTAACTTTCTTTATCAGGCTGTGTTTCATTTTCTACATTTCCATATATTTAATTTTGTACAAATCCAACCCCACACGCCCGCACACGGCCGCGCAGGTTCTCCTGCAGAGCCCACGCCACTGCTCAGGCGGAGGTCAGCCGCACGCTGCGGCTCGGTGGAGCACACACGGGCTGCGCTTGGTCCGTTTGGGTGCTGGTTTTCGTGTCGCATTATTTTTCTAAGAGGGAGCTTGTTTGTTTGTTAGCTTGTTTGTTTGTTGGGGGTTATTTCGTGTAGCCATGTGGGAAGTTTGTAAAGAAGGAGATGAGGAGAAAGTGCGTGCGCGCACGTGGGTGGGTGCGCATAGGTGCGCGCCGGGCTTAGGCACAGAACGTAAATATTATCGGTAATGCAAGGCGGTTAGACGGTAACTTTTCTGTAAATATATAAAGTATATGAAGCTAAACAGCTCGTATCTGACGAGTTCTAAATCCCAGTAATTCTCTATTTTTCAGGTCCCAAATGTTCCTTTTGTGAGTGTAGCAAAATAAGAAGTATCCCCCTTCTAAAAGACCTCGTAGCGTGTTTTCCTTTGCATCTGCTGCTCGGTTTCGTTTTTTTATTTCCAAATCCATAGAAAGCTACCGCAGTCATTGAAACCCCTCGGAATTACAGAGGTGTTACAAAATAATAATATTTTTAAATTGAAAGAAAGCAGGTTGCCTGGGATGGAAACGACCCAACTTCCAATTTAAGTAGCAGCTTTTGAAAGCTCCAGTTCTTTATTTATACAAGATAGCCGGTGTTAGTCGGACACCAAGTGCTAGTCTGGCTGGAGAAAAAGGGAAGTACACGGAAGAAAAAAAAAAGTATCGGATTCTTTCTGACCCCTTCCCCCTTATTTCTAACTGGAGGACATCACGTGTGTCAACAGGAATTTCGAGACCTTTCATTCTTTAGGTTATGTCCTAATTTATACAGCGACATTCTTAACCAACCCAAAGATTATTCAATTTTTTTTGTTCTTCTTCTGCGCAGAATATTCATTTCAGATCTATAGCATGGTGTTAAGCATGGCAGGGGGATGGGTGAGTGGGGGGCGGCAGAGTGTCTGGAGCCTAGTGCTGTTATTTCTGCTTAAAGAAGAAAGTGTTGGACATTCCTGGTCCGTGGTGCAGAGCTGCCAGCTTCCGCGGAGGAAGCGAGAGCAGGGTTAACTTTGAGGATCTTTAAGGATTTTTTCAAAATTAGGGTTAGTTTCTCCCGGAGTTTATACGCAAGACCGAGGGGAAAGTGCTCCGGTTAAGTCGACATTTCCCTTTGATATGTAATTAATGTGCGTTCTTTCAAACCTGGGAACGTTCAAAAGTGAGGAGCACCGAAAGGCATTAATACAGCCGAGAAATATTACAGCCCCCGCCCCCGAATATTGGAGTTAGCATGTTTGATACAGATCCAGTCAGTGACTTTTCATTATAGACTTCGGGGGAAATAAAGTAATTTTATTGTGTCTCGACAACCTCATAAACACATTTTTGGTGGTGGGTGTAATTACTGTAATGGATTATTATGTACACTGACTTATCTTTCTTAAACTAGATTTAGTTTCGATTAAATAAACTCGTTTCCACTTTGTCTGATGTCGGCTTAGTTTAAAGTCTGTTTACTTGTTCCACAGAAAGGTGAATTCATCTCTTTATTAAGCACTAGAGACCGAGCAAACACAGTTCAAACTGTATTTACATATCAATCAGGAGAAATGCAAACAAACTGCTCTTTAACAATTTTTATAGAGTTTTTTATGACATTGTGATACTGCCTTTTATCATATTTTTTTTTTTAGTAAACTAGTTATGCCTTGATTAGGGTGAAGATATTTGAAGGGAGGGGTGTAAATACAGTTTAGTCTCCAGTCTCCCTTGAGAACACTTATGAGAACTTAGTTACTGTATAGCTTTTAAAAATTGAAATTAAAATATGTTCCTCCATCTAAACTCCTGCTTCTTCCAATATGCTGGTTTCCAGTCTCCCGGTAATCAATGCAGAACTTGGATAATGGGATGGCAAAGGGGAGGGGCAGCATGATTCAAATCTGAAATGATGGAAGAGACGCACGTTTCCCAATATAACTGCTTTATCCACGCTAGACCATGGGCACCCCGTATTTTGAGAGATAAAAGGATCTAGTGAAGAATGGCTATTCCCTCCCACTCCACCACTGCCTGGCACTACTAGTAAGCGTAGGAGAATCACGGAGGGCATTTTTTCCTGCTGTAAATAGGAATTCATTCTTAAGTTCCATGAAGTGTGCGTGAAGTGGCACAGCAGGCTGTGGGAATAAAAAAAAAAAAAAAAAAAGAAAACAACAACAAAAACAACCCCAAACTAAATCCCAAACGAAACACAAACCCAAACAAACAAACAAAAAAAAAATTCCCAAATTCTAGCAAAACCACATCACTGCTACGGCCAGAACAGCAACAGTATCAAAAGTCTTGTTCATATAGGCTGCTTCATTTCCAAACGGGCTCTGGAGCCGGGGGCGGCAGGGCTTGCCCCGGGCTCTGCTGCGGCGCCGGTAGCAGCGGACGGGCGCGGCGCGGTGTCACTGTACCCACGGAGAGGCAAGGGATGAGGAGCTGATCCAAAAGTACATTGCCTGCATCTCGGTTCAAAAGGCAGTGCAGGACCTTAAGACGGTGTTGAAAGTGCGGATCCCAAACAATGTAATCTGAGACAGCTCTGAGATGACACCAAGAAAAGTTGCCACGGCTGGGAGGGGAGGGAAAAAAAGTATTTTAGGAGTTTTGTAGCGCAGCGCAGGTAAAGGGGCCTCGCCGGGAAGACAGCCCCTGTTCAACTTTTCGTGACCGCTGCCTTTAGCCTTTACAAAGGGGATCTGGAGTTAAAGACTGAGTGACTTCTGAAGAATTTAAGTCCTTTCATAGCCGTGTCGGGAGCAAAGCTGAGAATTTTTTTCTCTGTCTGACCCGTTGTTCCTCTCATGATCCCCATCAGGGGGGAAAAAACCCCTCAAAACTCTAAGTTAATGATAATACTGTTTATATGTATCAAATGTGTACAGACATCTGACCCAGTGCGGCTGCTCCTATGAGATAGAGAGACGACTGTCCCTGGCAAAATGGTGAATAATATGAAATTACTTTTCTTCCCCCCCTCTCTCTTTTCTGGCTGCAAGCACATTAGGGAGCAGGTAAGGTCAAAGTTTTCTATATCCTATTTCTCTCAAAGGCTTCTGGTCAGCGTTATAAATAAGATGGTGTAAAAGATGTATTGATGTAAAAAGAAACTGAAATTCGTTTTGAAGCTTAAAACAACTTACGACAGAGAAAAATTCTTGGGAAACCTATAAATGAAAACATAAAATATAACATTTAATCTTCGATGTAAAGGCTTTTGTTAGAGGGGGGCAAAGAGGGAAATAGTTTTGGGGTTTTTTTACTATTACACAGATTGAGAAGGAAAAACATTTACAAATGGCCGAATGCATTACTTCCGAAAGACGGTGTAAATCTA